ACAGTACTTCAATGCTTTTTTAACCCGCTTAGGCCCACTACTCTACAGGTTATTAAAGAAACTCTGTCTAGAGATATTTATTAAAGAAACCTTGTCTAGAAAAACGACTTTGAGCATTTCGTGCTTTGCCATTATTTTTTTAAGATAGTCACTTATATTGCTTGCTTGCCATTGCATTATTGTTTGTTATCGATATGCTACATGCGTATGAATTCATCGATAACGATACCAATAACTATATCAGGAACCAAATGAACTACTACTTCGGTAGTTTTCGATATATCGGGAACTTTAGTGATAAATTTCTTGATAAAATAATCGACAAATGTACATATTGTGTACATCGCAGTGTGCTTATATATTAATCGACCCATGTAAATGCTGATACATAAAACGTATTTTTATCGAAATATGGTTTGCAATATATTTATCGGTTTCTCGTTATTTAAAAAATTAATTAGTCCATACGTGTTTAACTTTAAATGGGTTAATTGAGCTTAATGCCTACCACATTATGTGATTATACTACATATATATAATCGTTATAGTCGTAAACCTTTCTTATATTACCTTCTGATGTTAAAAATGTTAAATCAGACACTGTTTGTTGGTACTACAAAAGCTGACAAAAAAATCATCCGGATTATGTCCATCTTGTTGACCTATTTAGACCGTTTTAAATATTACTCGTTGTCCGAATATATTGGAGCAAAATTTACCTCCCAAAACACTTTTCTCATACCTAATTCCAGCTAACAAGGATCAAAGTAACAAAATATTTCACTCTTTTGATTTCTTCCTTTAGATAGTAATGGCAATCGGGGTTTTCATACACAAATTTCGTCGCCAAAAAAAACTATAATTGAAAAAAATTGTCATGGTACAATGTATGATTTAAAGCAGTACTTAAGACAACAAAATAGTGGAAATTTGAATTCAAAGTAACAGCAGTCGTAATTTGTGTTCGGTGGTTACTCACATAACACGATTGTGATATGACCATCAAAGTCAAAAGATTTCTGCAAATTTTCATGTATGGAGAAAACATTCTACAATAATACTTTAAAGAGGAATTGATTAAGTAGGCTTAGGTGTTCTGACTCAGATTCAGATTTTCTCAGAGCTTCAACGGTTAATTTTTTGTACTCAAAGGGTTAAAGGCTTTTCTGTTATAAAAAAAATGAAGCTACGAATGAACAAAATCAATGGATAAATAAGAAAGAAGAAAGAAGAATGAGTGGTCAAATGAAAATGCGCAAAGATGTTTTGTATGAAAAATGAGCAGGAAAGAAGGTTACGCATACGCCATGTACATCTGAGTATTTTCAACTGGTTCTTGAGATATATGTACGTAATTAAGAGTGGACCACTTTTTTAAAAGGTAAATAACAGTAAATTGCAAATATCTCGAAAACTTATCCATGGAAAAAAATTAACTCGATAGGTATTGGATAGTGGCATCCGGTGAAAAAAAACATGAATTTTTGTCGTTTTTAGTTCACTATTCCTCGGATTTGCTCACGTACATTAGTTATGCATGTAACTGCTTAGGTAGACTTTCTGAAATTGATGACAATATAAGTTTTTCCCAGCTGCCACTTTGCAGTGTTTTCCCATACGTAAACTTATAAAATATTCGCCTTTAACTTGCCATCAAATGAAAATGGAGACATTCTGTCTTACAATTTAATAATTAATTTAAATAAATGTGTACTTTAGTTCATATAAATATTTTCATGTTATCTAGCACATAAATATTTAATAAGGAACACATTCAAAGTTATTAAGACATTTACCAGATAAGCCTAAAGCAACGCATGACTCCAAATTATGAACGACAGGTAAAAATTTCGGTCTATTCATTGCAATAACTGTGTGGTAGTGTTCGCTTACAGATTCAGTGAATATACATATTTAGTTTGTATACGTTCATATGTACATATATACATACATATTTAAATAGGCACAAGCTACTAATACTTATGGACTTCAGTACTGGAGCACACTGTCTTTCTATCATAGCCTGCCTGCTAAATTCTTAAGTCATCTGTCCATCAATAACAGGCAAAGCATTGAAGCATTTAACTGCATTCAGCTGAAAGTTAATTGATTTTAATCTGTATAGTATTTATGCATACCAAGAAAATATCTCCCCGCTGAAGTAATTGCTAAGTATTTAAGCAAACATTTTTACTAAATTTGCTATTTTTGTTGCTCAGAATATGAAATTGAATTGAGAAATAATTTCGAATTAATTTCTTTAAATTTCTTTGTGGGAAGGAAACTAATTGTTGGAAGCTTGCGATAATAAATTAGAAATAGAAAAAATTAATAGATTGGAAAGTTTTGTTGACCTGCGGACATTTTGAAAAAGCAATTTTTTTTCAAGTTAAATAAATTAGATGTGGATGTGTATCTCCAACCTGTTCACATTCATACATATTTTTTCTATCTACTAGCCAGTTATGCCAAAGCATTTGAGATAGAAGCAGTTAATGTTGCAGGTAAACAAAAAATTTGTTTGAGTACTAAAGCTGCCGCAAATCGCATATCTATTTGCTTACAGCTTCAAGTTATTCTAGCTCATAGCTTTCATAAATAGCATACCTTTAAGCGTTTAAACTTTCGGCAATGTGCTGTTGAATATTCCAAAAAATTTGCTAGAAGCTGTGCAGAATGCAAAATAATTGCTTAAATGCCAGTATGTATATGCATACATATACATATGATTATATACTTGATAGTAGTAAATTCATGCTAATTCACATGCCATTCTATTTTAGCAATCACTTAGGCGCATACACGCGTATAAGCATTTAAAATATGCATGTATTTATGTTTAAAAGTATTGCGAAATCAGCAGCTGCTACTCTTCCAGCATCGCAAGAACGTCTGCTACTGTGGTTAGTTTAGTTATTTCTTCGTCGTTTTCGAAACTTTAGAGCACAGCACTCTCTCTTGCAGCTGAAGCATTTTCAGTAACGTCGCTCCTTACTTAGTAAGGTCGTTATCATCATAAACTTTGCTTCCTTCATATTATTTTATCATTTTCGTGTGAGTTACTTCATCATTACGTGAGCGCATGGAATAGGAAGAAGAATTAGTAAAAAGCTTGCCTTTCGCATTTTGCTTAAAAAAAAAAAAAGAAAACTAACATTGCATCAAATATATAGCTAAACATCTATATTTGCATACTCGTTTGTAGTATGTAAGTGAAAACCTAGGAATGTGCAAGTGCCTGGAAGGCACACACAGGCATACAAAAAATACATGTATACATACAGGGTGCATGCGAAAATTGAAGATTAGTAGAAGTATCACCAATAGTAATAGTTTAAAATATACAGTCAATCGAAATCGTCTCCCAATAGAAGGAATATATTCTACATAAATACCCTTTAATTTGGCGTGGATAGCAAATTTAGATAAGGTATCCCCCCGTGCTATCTTAATCCTTATTATTGCTGTTTTTACATCTTTTTGGTGAAGTGAAGGGACGAGAGCATTGCTCCTATACATTGGTTTCGGTGCTTCTTCGTAAAACGAGCCCGCAGATTTGGCATCCAAAATCGTTTGGAAGTGATTTCTTCGCCTTTTCTTAGTGCTCTCACTGAACGTTTTGTTTCAAGATTTGCATTCTCGTTCATGCTGACTTAATTTCTGATAGAATTTTAAATAAATATGTATATATAAATATGCCTTTATTTTTTTCCTTTCTACTTTTCTTCCGGTATCACTCAGTTGTGCGTGGCATCACAACCGGCTGCAGGGTGACATTGTTCGCTGCGTATTTCTCTTTAGCATTTTCATTTAAATACGCCGTCTGTTGCAGCTTTAGGATATCAAACTTTAATCGAACTTTTTATCGCATGGCTTTTGGGCCCGGAATGAAGCCGAAATTCTATCAATATTTTAGTGAAATAGTCTTATAGATTAACTATGTGTACGACGTGGCGTATGAGTAACCTTATTTTCTGGCCCAAATACATACAACGAATTTAAAACTTGTTTAGTTATCCATCGATTTTCAGTAGCTTGATTTTTTGGTAAAAGAACAACCTTTAAAACAAATAACAAAAAAAAACTTTAAAACAAATAATAAAAAGAATAAGAAGCGATCGAAAGAGATATAAGAA